GTTTCTACATTTAACTTTGTTAATTTCATGTATATCTGCTTTTAGTATATACTAATCTAGCGTAATGCAAGTGACCGAATTTATTAATAGATGACACAATGTAATATAGTGAATCATTACATTCTTGTAGTATGTCTATTTAAATCTTTATCTTACACTGTGTGTCTTGCTAGGAAATACTACAAACGGGAAGTACCTCCTCATAGCAGATGTTTTCCATTTAGTAACATAAGTTGACATAGACATCGGTCTATCTTTCTTGACATTCAGTGAATAACGAACATAGAACGATACTTGTGTCACTAAGAGTGATTTAGCAAGAAACATAGATAACACAGTGCAATACAATGACTCATTACGTTCTTGTTGTTTGCCAACGTTAAGGATGAAATGAACACACTTGTCTTATACTGGATACTTTTCATCACAAGGGATACATCGGCTGCCTTCATAAACGTCGCTCTGATAACTTTAACATTTAATATTGAACAAGGACAGATAATGAATCCGAGGCATCGAAGGCATCCGAGCAACGTTTCCGAACGCAGCCATATAAGACAGTGAACATTTTATCTTTAAATTGGTAAACAAAGATGTAATAATGCACTGTTACACTGTGTCATCTGTGTAGCTGGAAAACACCCTCAAAATGACATAAGGATCATTCTAATTTTCTTGATATTCAACGAATAACAAAACAAAAATAGACACTTGTATCACATTTGTGTCACCAAATGGAAAGCACTCAATAAGTAATAAATAAAAATTGTCTACTATTCGATGTGTATGGTTAACCTAATCTCTTGGAGGTTCCGCGAACCTTTCGCGATCCTGACATCCCTCGCGCGTGGAGCGTCGTCTTTAAAGGAGTATAATTAGCGCGCTTAACTATGACAGGACAGTGCGCTGCTCCTTGAACGACCGCGTGGCTATTTTTAGGAGTTGCGCGCGCGGGATGAGAAGGGTAACAAACTTGATTCCCGGCAAGGGGATGAACTCTTGATCGACCTCATGCGACGCAACGGTACGCGAGGTGACGTGACACGCCGTGCAACGGGGAAGACGCGTCCGGATACTCACGGATCGGACGCGATCTCGTACGGGGTTTCATCTCCCTCTTGCAGCATTTTCGAGGCGCATCTTACTCATCGACTTGGTCGCAGCCAGCGAGAGCGGCAGGATCGATCAATCGCGGTCGGGGATGTACCTTGATGTACCTCACGCGAATGACACGCGCGTACGCGCTCCCATGACACAAATGACACAATACGCGACCACGCGTGCGAGAACGTGAATGACAACTGAACAGCGAGCGAGACGGGTATCCGATCTCCGCGTCTATCGATCACATCCGATTCGCGACCATGCCATTCGTAATTAGGTATCCCAACGTCCCCGAGACTCGGTACTCCGAGCTGCTCTGAGCACGACTGGGCGCTGCTGGTGCTGCTGGGCGCTGCTGCGGCTGGGTGCGCACGAATATGCGACGAACGCGGCCCACGACCCACGTTACCCACGTACCAACACCAACTGGATTTGCCGAGAAGACGCGCGCACGTCGTCGTGACGCATCTCGCGCCGTCGCGGATGCACACGGCTAGTACACGCTACACGCCGAGGGCGCTGTTGCGTAACCCGCTGGCGCGACACAAAAGATGATTTAACGATCGCGTCATCCGGCAATCCGATGCGCCGGCCCCGACGCATCGGGAAAAAGAATCTACGCACAAATCGACTGAGTGCACCGAGTGTTCCCCGAACGCGGTGACATTGAAAGGATCATCGCCAATCGTTGTCTTGCGATTGTTGCGATCTTAATCGTTTTATATTGTTTACAGGAGGGACGTTCAAACATTCAGTTTGAAAACTTGCATAATTATTAAACGCGCATATAGATGTATCTGTTTTTTTAGTGTTTGTTTTTATCAATTCTTTATTTATCATAACAATTGTTTGCATTAACGGACTCCTTTTTTTATAATTTAGAGCTTAGAATGTTTTCTTATTTCTAATTTTAAAACACAAGAATTGTTGAAGCAATCGCGCTTTATTCATTATAATTCTTGTCTTCATTCACTTTATGAATAGTATTTTTTACCTGCATGACAGACTTTAAAAATCTTGTAAAATTGTGGCACATCATAAGATATTAAGTGCTCATAGATGTAAACTGAAGCTTTCAATTATTGCTTACAAATTTACAGAGATTTAATTATGCTTGTCAGATCGATTGTAAATTGTCGCATAAATACATCATTACCTACATTGAAGAATATCCGCTACCTTGAAAACATGCTTATGTTCGCGAGATTTAATTAACGCCGTGCTGACCTTGTTTCGGCAATCGCAAATTATGCATTTCCGATCAAAGCTTAACAGGTCGATTCGTCGAGGCAATGCAAGTAAAACTGCTCTCGCGTGTGTAAGCTCGGGTACATAGAAACTTTCAGCCAATAACAAATTTAATACTTAATATATCGGCACTTGTGCAACAGTAAGAAAAATATTGATAAGCAGAAATAGCGATTAAAAAAAATATATCACGTAGATATCAATTAAGAATTTTGAATTGTGGAAAAGGATCATTTGAAAACGATATAAGCATTAAATTTTATTCGACAATATCGAAATTTAAAGCGCGTAATTTACACGAGGATATGAAGTGCTCTATAAATTTTTTCTTTCAAGTTTAATAAATGTATCACGCAAATACGCGCGTATCAAGATTTTATCTTTAAATTAACAAAGACTTATTTGAAATCATTAATGTTAATTATTCAATATCGGAATTTAAAGCGCGTAATTTACTTACACGAGGATATGGAGTGCTCTATCTATAGGTTTCCTTTCCAAGTTAGCATCCAAGGAGTGCTTTCGCAACTGTTCTTCAGTCTAAGTAAGGATTATTTAAATGAGGTCGGTGAAGCGTGTAATTGAATCGCATGGATGTTTGTTCAACATCAGTATCAGAGAAAAGTTCTTGAATACCGATTATAAAGGCTGTCGGGTAAAATTACACACACGCGTGCAAGTGAAGACGGGCGAAGGAAATGAAACCATTAATAACGTTACGTACCCTCACATCGGGTAATGGTGTATCCAACTGAAGACTCGCAAAGTACTCTTCTAATTCCATGATTCTATACCCATGCAATTTTGTCTAATTTTATATAACTTGTATAATTTTATATAACCTTTTAAACACATCATCCTTCTTGAGAACAAAAGATATATTCATGTTAAATATAATCGAAACAAGAAAAATAACGAATACGCGTCTTGGAGGTATTAAATTCAAATTTTATTAAAATTACAGAAATCAAAGCATAATTTGACGCAGCAATTTGTGTCATGATGTATGATTGTATATTTAGATATAGCATCAATTTTTCCTGTTCAGTATTAATTAAAAATTGAATTCTTAATTTATTCTTATCTGATTTTTAATCCGAGTTGTTTTGTATCAAATTGTTCAAGTCAGTGGGATAAGTTATTTATATCTTAGAAGTGTATTCTTTTATTAGACAACAATAAGAAGACATTTAATAAGAATTACATTATTTTTATAGTTCGAACAACGCACTTTCGTATACTTGTATAATCGACATAGTTTTATTTTTTAGTTTCATATATTGAACAAATACACATTTATGTAAATGTTTACGTTGCATTACATGGAAAAATAAAATACACTTTTACGCTTAAATAATCATATTTATGAAGTTTATGATAGAAAATCTTATGTGAAATAAACTGAATTATATTTACGTGAATGGAAAATAAATGTATCATCGTTGATTTTTTAAAAAATAACTGAAATAGACATTAACAATCGTCAATCCCAGAATAGTTGAAATGATAAGATATTGCATAGAACTAAATGAGATTTTGGATTCAATAATCACATAACGATTTGTACTCTTATTTTTAAGGCTCCTAAGTAGTTATCACAACCAATTTTTATTACTATTTGTAAATAAAGATAATTTGGATAAAATAAAATTATGAGGTCGCTTTAAAATAATTGTAAAAATGAACGAAAGGTATGCTTATACCCTCTGACAGTGAATAATCGTAAAAAATGACAAAGGCACATAAAGTGCTTTCATTAAATGCGCAATACGCATGCGTAACCTATTTTCACTTACATGTGCATTTTACTATTTTTTTTATATGATTATTTACTGATTGTCAGGGGGGATAAGCATAGTTTTCGTCCATTTTTTACAAATTTTTCAAAGCAATTCATCATTTTATCCAAATTGTTTTTATTTACAAATGGCACAAAACAAAAATCAACGTCATTTCTCGTTTCCGACATCACAATTCAATATATGGCTGTGGTGATTATTAAGGAGCCTTAAATTAACGATTAATGTTAACAAAATAAAATTATTCGATTACCCTATTACATACATGTACCACAATATGTACGTAATATCTCTTAAAAGAAGATTTTTTAAACATTCAAAAAAATACTTTATATCTATGATATACATGCTATTGTTTACATATCATTAGGCTTTATCATTGGTCAGCATATCTGAAACTATTATAATTCTGTTACATTAAGTAACATCTAATTATTCGTGGAAAAAACCCGTATTTGATATTAAAAGTTTTAAGAAGTTCTTATCATATTCGTAAAACATTAAATAAAAGATTAAAAATATATAAAAAAAGATATTCAACTTATACGTACGTATAAACAAGTATTTTTAATAATTTTTCAATATTTGATCTGAATTATTTCTTAGGAACTTATCAGAATAATTTTTGGCACATCAAGTGGTTTTCTTAGGAAATATCAAAATAAAATCATGAACACATTTCAATCACTTTTTTTTTTAGTTAACCTAAGCTTAAGTATACTAAATATATCAGAAGTTTTATAACAAGAAACATTGTCACACAATTGGCTTTCAAATAAAAAATATGTAACTTCAGAAAGTTATAATTTGATAGCTAATTGTGACGCAATGTTAACAAATTGTGTCCGCATTTTTTTACTGCAAAACGTGATTACAACATATAAATATATATGTACATATATCTATACTGAATATAAGGGGAAAAAACAGTTTTCTTGTTACAAGAAAAATAGCTGTCTCTCCAACTGTGAATTTGGGGGTTGATGTAGAAATCGTCCCACTAAGAACGATAATTTATGCGCATAATGGCAGGGCGCTGGTACTCTAACAGTAGTTGAACAATTATAGTACATGTGGGTCAGCTTATATGTAACAACTTGAATTATTTCTGCTTCTAATCCGGTATTATCAAAAATCACATTATACGAAGTGGGTGAAACTGTACCTTGCCTAACCTGTTGCGACACAATAAAAAAATCGTACCTTAGCGGATTGGTGATTACATCATCTACTATTGTTCCGGTCTGTGGATTACCAAAACGACTGTTCGAATCAAATAGTCGAACGTTAATTCTTTTAGTTACAATAATAAAGATCAGCTTAAAATTCGGACCATAATACAACTTCTCAAGCGCCTTTTCTAGTTTTTGCACCTCATTTTCGTAAACTTGTTTGATTTGACCATCACTAACACCATCTCGATAAATTACAAGATGTACAGGAAAAGCCTTATTTCTTTCTTTATAAGTCATGATAGCTTTCCTTACACTTGCGCAAAGTTGGTCACCGAGATCTTCATTGCTATGAAATAAAGCAATAGAGCTAAAATATCGTGTCAGCGATTGATCCACAGTTGCCACCATAGCCACTATAATTACAAATTTAGAATGATTTATTTCAGTTTATAACTAAAATTAGAGATGCATCGAATGGTAAAATTACCGGATACCGATTAGATATCTGGCGTCACATTTGTTTTCAGATCCAGTCGGATATCCGGTAAGGCATTATCCTACTGAATACTGGATATTTTCCCTGCCGGATATCTGGAAAATGGCTTCCAAAAAAAGGACAGCAAGAGAAAAACAGCAATAATTTTCTTAATTTTCACAACATAAAAATAAAAAGAAGAAAGAACTGTGTTAGAAAGTCAACTGAAAAGAATAAAATTCTGCATTAATGATGCAAACTATTAATATAGAATAATTATCAATATGGCTCAATCAGAATAAATCAATAGTTAAAAGAAAGGGCTACGAGCCAGTTATAACATAAAGAATATTTAATAAACTTTCTTACATACATGCAAACGTTTCGACACCGATCGGGTCATTTTCAATGCAAAACAACAAACAATCCTACACAAAATATCGGAAAATTCAGTCAAATGATAAAGTCCAGTAATGAGTTCGGTTGTATTCGTAATAAGCGGTCCATATGTAAAAATGTCGAAAGAGATCTCATCTCACTTTTTTACAATTCTCCAATCTTAAATTGTCTTAATGGTGTAAGTTAGACGCCGAGAGGAAAACGCAATTAACAAAGTTATATTGAATAAAAAGTAAGCCATGATACACTTTGGATATCACATTTATACTCGAAGATGCCAAGCGACATCAATGTAATGTTATTCAATATAACTTTGTTAATTGCGTTTTCCTCTCGGTGTCTAACTTACACCATTAAGACAATTTAAGATTGGAGAATTGTAAAAAAGTGAAATGAGATCTCTTTCGACATTTTTACATATGGACCGCTTATTACGAATACAACCGAACTCATTACTGGACTTTATCATTTGACTGAATTTTCCGATATTTTGTGTAGGATTGTTTGTTGTTTTGCATTGAAAATGACACGATCAGTGTCGAAACGTTTGCATGTACGTAAGAAAGTTTATTAAATATTCTTTATGTTATAACTGGCTCGTAGCCCTTTCTTTTAATTATTGATTTATTAATATAGAGTTTCAACCGGATATATTACCGGATACTAATCATCCGGCTATCCCGCCGGACAGTAAAAGTGTCGAATAATGCCAAATACCTGATATTTCTCGGATATCCGGCGCATCCCTAATTAAAATATTTGGATAATTTCAAATTTGAAAAAGCATAAAAATAAAAAAATACAACAATTTTTTATTAGATTAAAATAAAAATCAAATTAATATTAAAAGGTACTTACGAAAATCTTTGCCCTTAGTATTAGCGTCGTGGCATATGTCGAACCCTATGACCATTAATCCTTTCAATGGGTTCTCGATAGTCCAAGGTGCTCCGCCTAATTTACAGTTCATTTGTATTGCTACCTTTGTAGCAATAGTTCGAGTATTTTTACCATACAAATTTTTTTGTAAAAAAACTTGTGACGGCACAGGTCTATCTAGGCAACATTTTTTCTTAATAGCTGCATAACGATCACTGCGATTATTGCTCACTACGCAGAATATTAAATCTGGAGTACTTTTACTAAGAACGTACTCAAGATTTTCAGCATACGTGCCTGCCTTATCATCATGTATAGGCTGTATTCGTGGTTTATCAACTCTGAATGATATTCCATATGACACAGACTGCAGCGTTGTTAGAAAATTCTGTAAAATCCAAGATTAAAATAAATATTTTGCACACGCGTGCGCGCGCGTACGCTCGCTCGCACGCACGCGTATACACACACATTCCCAAAACCCACGAACATCCTTTTAAGAATGGATTCTAAGACAAAAATTCTAATACGAAAATGTCGAGGTTATGATAGTTTTTAAATTAATAGCGATTAAAGTTTACTAATCACGGAGCTGATATTTCGCGCGCTCAGGCATGACAATATGACAAGTGGTGAAGGTGCTTCAGGACCCTCTCAGCAACTTTAAGATTATCATACAAATATGCAATGACATTTTTATTATGAAATTATTGTTGCTTCTATATGGAATCTATTTGTATATTACGTACACATAATTAATGTTGGAGGATATAACAAAATATTAATTTAAGCGAGATACTACACGTTTCAAAATAAATTCATAACCATGTTCGTTAGGGTAAATCATTTCATATGATAAACATTTTTATAATAATATCAATAAATAAACTATTTTTAACATGAAAAGAATTAAATATGTTGATAAAGTAAGACTGAAACATGTCAAATATTTATATTGTATAATTATGTGCAATGTGTATGATTATAATATTAGTTGCTTTCCATTTACACACAAGTGAAACTGAGTTTGAAGTGAACTAAGTATTCCATACTCAGATTAATGGCTTCACTACTTGCTTACTTTGTTAAAAAAAAGTCATCATATGACAACACAGTTCATATCCTCATTTTTAAAGTGACTTTACGAGACTCAGTAAAACACACCGTGTCTCGATCTTGTGCAGATTGTAGATAAAAACTCAGTTGAATCTCACTTGTCAGAATACAAAAGGAACATGCATTTAACTGTTATGATATCACAAGTGAGAATTATCTGAGAATCGATGTAAATGGAAAACAACTATTATGTCTTATTCAATATCCATTTGGTGAAAATTATTTACATTTACGGAGTGAACGTCTCGGTCAGCCACAAATATTATCCAATTTCTCAACTCCTTAGATATCAACAAACGTGCTTTTTGCATGTCTCTAGTCCAATCTCCAGTTGCACTGCTTATATGTTTGTTATCACCAAATAAAAGTCTTTCTGAGTTTAATAGACGACCAGGAAATTCTAGCAAATTCTTATCTAATGACATATTCCAATCTTTGAATTCTTGTAAGACTTTTGGTTCCTGGCGGAGTCTATCATTAAACCGCTTAAGTTTATCTATACGGGAGTTAGGCGAAATGCAGGTATGTACTGCTAACGCTTTCATCAAGTGAAAATTGTCTCTCATGCTGTCAGTTAAACCTATAAGAAAGGTCCATTAGTACAAATTTATCTATACTTAATTATTTATTAAATAAAAAGCTTAAATATACATATTCGTCAAGTGTAAAACGTACCTGTAGCACGGCACAATTCAGGAACCAAATAAACTAGATCTCCTTGCCCGGCGTTTCGTTGTCTCGGTTTGGTTCTTGTTACTAGCATTGGTTGCGAGGCACTTGAAATTTCTATTTTATATTTAGTTCTATAATACTCCTGGTAAGATATACGGTGTCCATCTTTCATCGGAAATGTCGAAGAAGGACTCGTTTCGAAGTCTACGTCTTCAATCCGATAAGTATGATTATTATAGTCCGTAAGTACCATAACACCAATTACATTATTACAGAATTCTGTCTAAAATGTATATAATTCTTGTTATTTTTAGAGTACATAAAATAAAAATACAACAGCATACAATCTATAAGTACAGTTTTTAAGCAGAATTTTGGATCAACAAATCTTTCAAAATTGCTCACATGAAATAAATTGAAGAAAGTTTTGATATCTCCAAATTTACTTTTTTACTTTATCTTATTGTAAAAGTAAAATGTAGAGAAAAAAATTTTTAATTGAATTGCTTATGAATAAAAGACAATATAAATAATATATATGCGTTACATATATTTATATAAATCTTTATTACTTTTCAGCGTTGAACCCAATCTTAAAGTATATCACAAATTTAAATTAGATTTTGTATAAGTTTTTAAATAAATGGAATTAAAAACAAAAAATGCAAGATATACAAATAAAAATTAACATTTACTTACCCTATAATTATCACTACGTCTGTAGCAATCCATTAATACATGATATAATGTTTCTTGACGCATTACTTTATGAGTTATTTCAGCGTTTAATAAAATGTCACGTTCGTGTTGTCTAATGGATGTAATATAGCCGGGCCACAATTCCAATCGAAATTGATGTACACTAAACTATACGATCGCATAGTTATTACAAAAATTATTAAATTTTCTATTCAATAAAATGAAGTAAAAGTATCCATATAAACTTTTTACTAACTTTATTATGGGCATCATAATAGTCGCGGCCCACCAATTGTAATCTTAAATGTTCCAAACATTTTCTCATTATTATGTTAAAAATAATTATATAATGTGGATCCTCAGGCACCATTCTCCCGACTAAATAGATAATTATTTTAAAGGGTGTTTGATCGGATTGCCTTACTGACGTCAGCTCGATTTTCTGAAATTTTTCATACATAATTATGAACATATTTAATTGCGCGTATCCACTAGTGCAGCAGTATGATATATTGATATATTTACATCTGGTAAACGTGTACTTGAGAACAGGGTAGTACCATCGAAGATATATGGACCGATTTTTTCTTTATGCAACTTAAGCATGCCTTTGCGAATAAATGTACGACTTTCATCGGGTTCAAAATCAACCCTATATTTGTATAGACACCAATTAGGTACTGTAGGTAGTCTGAAGTGATTTGAACGGAGCATTATTGGTCTACCAGATTTACCTATAAATTGATAGAAATTAATTACAAAAATGATAATATTACTTATTTTCTGGCATGTCTATAAAAATTATAATATATACGATAGATTTAATTCACAATTTTATTATACAAATATTTAATATTCCACAAGTTTTCATAAAATACTGTATTTCCAATCTCTGGTATCATATCTGTTTCTTATAGAGAGTAGAGAAAATCCTTACACGAAAAAAAAATTATAATAAAAATACGAAATTTGTAAAAAAAATAATTTTACGTAAGTTTGCATTTGAAATTGTTGTCTGTCCATCTCAATACATGCTGACATTGATATAATTTTGAATTTTACTTTTCTTGCGAGTTTAAAAAACAAATGATAAATTCAAAATTACATCAATGTTAAACATGTATTGACACGAGCAGATAGCAATTTGAAGCAGAAATTTGATAAAATTATGTTTTTACAATATATTGCAAATTTTTATAACTTTTTTGAAGCATAAAAAAAATTTTTTTTTATTAAAGCTCATTTTATTAAAGCTAGAATATACTGTCAAAGTTTGTACAGAAAATGTCAGGATACCCTGTTTACATATTATACATATATATTGCGGATAGCAGATTAAGATTCTATACAAACCTTTTTTAGAGACTAAGGTACTGGGTCTACTGACAAAAACAGGTTCCATTTTACGTCGAGAACATGTCGTCTGAGTCGATTCAGACCCTTCACTTTTCACTTCATCTTCAATTTCCATTTTAACTTCGGTTTTTACTTGAACCTCACCTTTAACTATTACATTATACATAAACGTTTTTTTTTAAAACTTTGGCTAATTTAAATTTATTGTATTTTTCTAAATAATAGAAAAATTTAAATCGGTAATTATGCAGTTTAGGGGAACCCCCCGCCCCAATAATCTTGATCTTGAGGAAGTTTTAGCCGTCGAACGTTATTTGTTAAAAAGTTATAAACAAAAAAAGTTTAAGAAATAATGTCTCATTTCTGCTATACAAAATCAAAATTTTCTGCTTTAAAATGAATTTCCTGCTTTAAAAACATTATTTTCTTATATAATTTTTGTTCTTAAAGCAGAAAATGTTTTTTCTACTTTACTCTGCATACACTCTACAATGAGTATACACTTTATAACAGTGTCACCTTCTTCAATAAGGAAAGAAAATAAAATGTAAGCAATATTAATTTGCAAAGAAATTTAATTAGCATGAAATGGATACATGGAACTCATCATAATGTCGAAAAAAGCATAAATTCGATTATTATAAGTAACGACTTTTCACGCGATGACTTTAGTACAAATTTGATTTTGAATGAAGAGTCGTTGCAAAATCATAAATTTTCTGCTTTAGAACAAAGATTATATAACAAAAATAATGTTTTTAAGGCAGGAAATTCATTTTAAAGCAGAAAATTTTGGTTTTATATAGCAGAAATGAGACATTTTTTAATAATCTAATTAAATTATTTAAAGAAGCAATTAAAAGATCTAGCTTCGACCGGCATTAGGCCTTTAAATATATTATTAGCGAGTTCTGCACGCGCGTGTCGGTCCTATAAGATTTAAATTTGTTAATAATCTAAACTTTTTTTGTTTATTTTTTAACGAGTAACATCCGACGGCTAAAACTACCTCGACGTCACTCAGGGCAATGACCTTGACAAGGTCATGAGGAGGGGGTTCCTCTAAACTGCATAATTACCTTTAAATCTATATAGTTTCTAATTGAAAAATGTAAATTCTATCTATATAAAACTAATAATTAAGAAAAAGTAAATGATGAAAGAGTATGATAAAAAGATATAAAAAATTTACTTGATACATCTTCCAACGGCTCTTGTTTGGACGTAGATGGAACTGCATAATCGTCATAGTGGGCGCTCTGTTATAATAGAACATTTCTTATATTCTTATAAATTTTATTTAATTTTATTTTCATAAATTTTTTAATTTTATTAAAATGAATTAGGTTAATAGTTTTTATGGCTCTATAAGAATAAATCTAATACAAGTAAAATGCCTATATGAACTCCGGTTAGTGTGAAATTATATATTCATAAGGAAGTAAGATATAATATGTAAACAATTGGAATGTTCTTATCAAACAAAGTTAACTATAACATTTCAACTCTGGATTTGAATCCTCTTTAGTACGGAAGTTCAGTACACTAGGTCTTCAGTACTCATTGGTCTTCCTGCTTGAAATTAGTTTTCTCTGATTGAATACAACGTATCCAGGTATTTAGATATTCATCATGATTATCAGGTTCGCCAATGTTACTTCGAAACTGCATGTAAGGCATACACAGTGGCAAAAAGAAAGCATTACTAATATAATTTACATAATATTATTATTAATATTAAAAAGTAATATATATAGTAATATCAAATTAATTTTCAAGAATTCAAAACATTGGGTATGTTCTGATATCACTATAAGTATCTCGTAACCTTGCGCGAGTATTTTGTTTATCTCTAGATCAAACACTATCCGGATCATCTCGTTTTTTTCAAAATTAGTTTTTAAAGATGTTTACATAATGTATAAATACGATGTATGCAAATTGTCAAAGTGTTCATAACAATAGGTGGACTCAGCTCATATCTGTGCGAAACACATACCCCAGTGAGAAATGACAATGGAATCGATGTCGAATCGACGTCGATTCCATTGTCATTTCTCACTGGGACATTCATCTTTTATAGAGAAATCAACGAATCTGAGATGTATTAAAATTAATGAGCGATAATGTATTTTGAATATATATCAAACAAAAAAGTATATTAGATTTAAATATTATATTTAAAATAATAATGTCTATTATCTGGTCATACGCATAAGGTTAACACATAGTTCACGCTTTTTAATAATTTGACTTTCTTTGCATGGTTGCTTCATATAGCTTTTCACTGCTTTTATTGTATGACTACTTGGCAATACCATGTTAACAAATTTTATAATTTTTAATTTTATATTACAATACTAATTTTCCGTCATATTGATAATGATCTAATATTGTGTTGAAATGTTGATTTTATATATATATATATATATGATTGTTTCATCTTTATTTTATGTAAGTCAAATTTATATTAAACGATTTGTTGTAGGCTCGTAGATCTTTTTTATTACATTATTTAAAATAATAATATTGTAAATAATACTAACTTTTACTATTCCTTTCCTATAATGCTCCTGTAAAAAAAGAAAAAGAATATATTTAATTACAAGATATGTAAAATACAATTGTACATTGTAGTTTAGTTTATAAGAATTACTTAGTTTATAAGAAAAAGTATTCGCATAAAAAATTTCTTTAAAAATCTAGAGATTGCCTTTATATCGTATACACAAACTATAATATTACCATACATGATTAATACTGTTCCGATATACATTGACATACCGAACTACAGTATATACTTCGCTCATTACATATATTACAGATTTTTTCAGTACTGGCAATGTATATTTGAATTCATTTCATGTATATCAAATTATATTCAGAAATAGTATTCTTTTTTTGATTTAGCAAAAGTTCTTGAATAATTATATCATTAAAACAAGAAATAAAATAATTAATTTTTAATATTTAGAGTGTAAACAAAAAAATGTAATAACCCCTATATTTCAAAACTACATTTTATCTTCTGTATCGGTTTTTTAATTTAATATTTGTATTATATAAAGAAGCAACCATTTCTTTTTCCTGGTGTCATGTCTTACTTACCGGCTCTGAAAAGCTTCTCTCATACGGTTTCGGCCTGCGATGTCCACTACTGGTCGATGGTTCAGAAGGATCATAACCTCTATCTCTTTCTTGCTTGGACATTTTTTCTTTAATCTAATGACAAAAAAAATCAAAATTAAATGTTTTGAAAAATAATTCTACTGATTTATCACACAATTTACCAATCTTTAAACTAAGCAGGATTTTTTGAGGAAAAAATATGCTCTTGATAATTTTATATCAACTTTCCGGCTCTCACGAATATCAGCTCTCACGAATATCAACGTTCCGATATTCACTATCATTAAAAATCTGTAGTACGTGTTACATGTACTATAAATTACTGGTAATAAATATTTGAATGTTCAGGAATTGGGCCCAGATAACCTAGAGATAAATCCGATGTACATTTATGCTACAATATACTAACATAAAACGCCTTCCATTATACAATCGGCACCGGTATCGTTCTGTCTTTGTTATTCATGAAATGCCAAGATAAGACGACATTTATGTCTGGGTGCATCACTAAATAGAAAGGATTGATGAACTATAGCCTAGAACTAAGACAATTCTCTAAATGTCCTTAGCCTCTACTAATCTCTTTGATTAAGAACTGCAGGAAGATATCGCTGAAGATATTTTGCAGTTGTGGTTTAGTTATTAGAAATTGAAAAGATACTTAAAATTTACAATTCGCAATTTTATCATCCGATTATTCAATATTCCATAAATTCTCATAAAAATGCTATATTTCTAATGTATCGAAATTCGTTTCAAAACGCGAAGCATTTTGAAAAATGAGAAGCATCTTATATCTTTACAGTACTTAGAAATGTATAAGGCTGAGTTTCCACTGAGCGCGTCATGCGTCGTCGAAGGAGAGAGATTGTGTGGTGTGTGTGTGGGTGATGTGTGTGGGTGGGTGTGTGGGTGTATGTGTGTGTATAAACTTCTCTCTTTCACGACGCGACGCGTGACGCGCTCAGTGGAAACTCAGCCTAACAAGTTATATTCTGTACAAAAAAGGATGCTATTACAAAATTTCTGTTTGTACTTATCACCTTTTCAGGCATAACCTGAAAGAAAGTCGATATTAAGATTTCTCGATTCTATTTTTAATACATATAGCTACATTTATGGGGTGCATTCTGAGTTACGCATGAAGTGCATAATGTATCGTTTTATCTTTCTTTATTATTTAGTGAACAACGAAGACAAATGATTATGCGTAATTGGAACATACCTATGATATATGGATATTAAATATGGCTACATCATGCTTACATCATTAATTTACGACGCCGGATCAATCTCGCTAGTTATCACCTGTTAATTAACACAGGTATGTTTCTAACACATGAATTAAGATGTACTTTTGAAAGTTACAGTATTTAATATTCGCGATTTTCTACAGTGAGAAAGTCTAGTGCGGGAATGAAAAATAAACCCCATATTAATAGGCTTGTTCGCGTTGTTTGAAAACCGAAAATATTTCGCTTTGAAACGAGATAAATACATATTAGAGCGTGAAAGAGAGAAAAAAAAAAGAGAAGATTTCGAATGCAAAAATTGTAAGCAGTGCAAAACCCATTGACTGTGTTAGACTCGGAGAAACATTAACGCTCTTTTATATTTACCTCGTGCTGATCAAAATTTCGCTTCCTTCCTGAAACTAAACGTAAAGATTTCGTGTTAAATTTCGAGAGTTCCAACACTGCTATTTATCTCGTATCTCCGCGCGTGTTCCGCTGGCCAATTATTCTCCACGCGACCAAGTTTCCAAGGATCCCGAGATTCCACTACGTCGAGCGAGTTCAAAAACACTGAAATAATAAATGACGCCGAAATCGTCGAGACAAGCCGATGTATGTATTGATGATCTATCGATGGCTTGTATACATAAACTGACGGTTATTGTTGTTTCGTCGTTTAGTCCATCAACCAATCACGAGTTGTGTATTGTACAGAGAAAACACGATTGGTCCCGTTTGAACGCTTAAAAAACGTATCGTCCGATGATCACGCAGATTTTATCACAGAGACGCTAACCCAGTTTCATGAATCGAATCAGTCACGTCGAGCGCGAACCACAATGTCCGTTTTAGGAAGTATAGGCACCAATACAACACAAAAATCGACGAGACGCATTATGAGAAAAACGCTGTCCACTCAGTCCGCTTGCGACATCATAAGAGACTGGAGAAGGAGTAAAGAAACGACTGCGATTATACTCGAAACTCGAAACGACCAATCGGCGAGTAGCGTTCCGCTGCGAGCAACGTCCTAGCCTAGCAACATATCTCTTTCCCCCACAGGATACGACGGATTCACGTTCCTAGCAATGGGGGTTACTTCCTTGTCATCTATCGAATATTAAACAAGGACAAATGATGTTTACAAAAACATGAGCTACGAATGGAAGGCATCCAGAAAAAAATGGTAACAATAAACCGACAATAACAATGTGGCGACTCGGGCAGTTTCGTGCCCGGGAATGCCGGGCTTCGTCAGGGATAAAGATACCGGAAAATCCTCGAGAGAAACTATATTGCTATTGGGAATAGACAGTGTTAGGTATGGGTAGTATCTATACATGTATCCAGATACATGTATAGAGATATATTTTGTGTATCTAATCTGTATCTGAGGTACATTCAAATTCAAGTATTTGTATCTGTATCTAGATAAAAAAACACAGCATCTGAACTGATTTTCAAATGCGTTTTTCAGATACATTTCCTCAGCATAGTCGTAATTCCATTTTGTGTATGATTGTTGATTGATTCCATTCCGCAGAAAAAAAGCAGCTTTGCTGTTGCAAAATTCTATAACATGTTTGGTCTTTCCCTTAGTTCAGCTCACTGAATTAAATGCAAATCGGCCATATTAAAGAATTTTACAGTTACACTGCTGCTTTTTCTGCTGAACGCAATCAGTGATCTTAGATTGGGGAATTTCTAACGCATGTATAATCAAGCTGGAAACAATGTTTGAAGCATTTTTAGTTTGTAAAACTATGATAAATAATGATGAATAATATCGTCTTATAATTCTTATTCTAAATCGTTTTACGATAATTATAAATTTTTTTCAATTATATAAATGTAACAAAAATGAACGAATAAATGATTCATTTAATAACTAATACATTTTTCACATATTACCATTATTACAATATAATTAACGTAAGAGTATCTGAAATGTATCTGAAGATACTTTTAAAGTATTTGATATCTGCAGTATCTATTATATATACATTTTAATATGTGTATCTATATTTGTATTTAGATAAATTTTCGTACATGTAACTGTATCTGTATCTAGATAAATTTTAAGAGTATTTTATCCATCACAGGGAATAGGCCTGTTTTTTTTTGGCTCAACTTTTGCATCAGTTCATCTTTCTTCCTTTTCTCTACAGGAGGAAAGAAGAGAAAAAAAGATGAACTGGTGTAAAAATTCCAGCCAAAAAGAACAGGCTTAATTTTCTTTCCTGCATTCTCAGCACTTTTATTGGACACGGGTAGGGTTACCAACCGTACTCTTTTAAGAGTACATGTACTCTTTTCAAAGTCGGAAAACAGCGTACTCTTACTTTTTACTTATTGTACTCTATTTTGAGAAATGAGACGAAATTTAAAAAATTATTATTTAATATTTACATTTATTACTTTACAAAAAAGTTTTGCTTGGCTTGTACTAAGGTTTTGACCATTATGTAAAATATAAATATTTATTTACATATTATATAGAGGTTTTGATAGAGATTTGGTTATATATATTTGTTGAAGAAACTTATAAATAGCAAAATATGTTAAATACATGAATCAATTTTATTTTCTCAATTTTATTAACATTAACATTAAAAAATCTGGAAGTAAAATATAAAGAAACATATTTATTCGTAACTTTATGAAGACTGAATAGACGTTGTCAATAAAAATTCTAAAAATGTCATTTTATTGAATGCCAGCATTTAAAATAAAAAAGTTCGTCATCTTTTTTCCTTTTTTTTTAGAAAGTATACTCTTTTTGCATATCAATGTACTCTTTTCGTGCGACCAAGAGTTGGTAACCCTAGACACGGGCAATACGAAATACGAGCATACGAGTCGACGATTACTCGAGATCACTCGACCACTTCAATGATGTATAAAATACATGTTACATGATGCGAAAAGTTTCGACAGGCACTGGTGTAACAAGATTAAAAATTCTATGTGTATATATATATATATATATAAATTTTAATATGAATTTAATAATAATATTCTGTAACTCTCAGGGCCATTTCGATCCACAACCTAATTTTAATTAACGATTCACTCGACAGAATCACTTAGGTGTTAAAATACATATCTCTAACATACAATTCGTTTTTCTTAATCTTTTTTCATATATTAAATTGAATCTGTTAATCAATTTGATAGTTTTATTACTTAATAAAATAGTACAGGGTAAATATAAATAGTTTTTGTATTGATGAATTATATTCATAATGGATACTTCTATTCGATGTCGACAAACCTACATCGAAATCAAAATGGTCCTTGACGATTATAACGATCAATAACGTTATACATGTCATTGTGTAGATTTTGAACGTGATAAAAGTATGTCCAAAAATAATGTTACGACATCGTTACAGTTATTGAGAATTGCAGAATAGGAATCTAAATAATATAAAAAAGGAGTTCTGGAAAGAATTGAATAGAACTTAAATTTCTATAATTTTTAAGAGATACACTTTAAAAGAAGAGGCTTGGCACCCTTTCCAAAATTACTTTCGAATTTGTCCCTTTTCAACATATGTCTGTGAAAGAATGCAAGTATATCAAGAGACACGGTAGTGTCTCACGCCAAGTATACGCGCCCGTACTGGGCGTTTGAGACCTCTATACCTGCTAGTATACCTAAATCTACTTTTAAGTATACTCAGGTATACCTCGAATACTGTATACTCATTGCAAATGTACCTTCAAATATACCAGGGGCGCTATTCTGTAACTGTTTTACAGACCTACCGACAGTTGTCGGTGTCATTAGGCAGCTTTTTCACCATATAAAATATCTGCGCAACGACACCGACAACTGTCGGTAGGCGTGTAACGTCAATATTACATGCGTCCGTCTTTTGTTGTACGACGAATTTTTCAAGCGTGTTAATTGGCTGCAAGACAGAGAGGATCTCGGACCTCTTTGTCCTATAATCAATCGATAGGCTTGAAAAATTTGTCGTACGACAAAAAACGGACGCATGTATAATATTGGCCTAAAACAATTACAAAATAGGTATATAAGCTAGTACAAAAGATCCTATACCTATACCAACATAATCTCTATACCTTTTGCTAATGATATTATCGTAAGCTGCAGGAATTTTTCGAAGCGTAAGGGTGCCGTCACATACAGCCCGTAATCCGTAATCCGCACCAGATGTCTGCAAAAGTTGCTAGGTATTGCGTCCGTAACGTTACGTGTGTTTTACCTCCTTGTGTCCCAACTCCCATGAAGCCGTAATCCCATGAAATTTCCGTAAAAATTACTAGTTATTACCAGTAATGCTTTTCCTAATTTTATCTATTTGACTAAATTTGACGATTTAGTTAAAACTTTTGTTATATTCAAAATATATTCTGTAATTTTCTTATAAAATAAAATAAAAATGAACAGTATAACTTCTTACCAAAAAAAAATATTACATTTACACGTCCGCATTTTGCGGCTCCATGGGACACAAGGAGCATGTAAGCACGCAACGCAATTGCACTCCGACGTCAAACAAAAATAAACGTGCCATAACTTAGCTTTAATTTATAAATAGTGATTAATTTGTTTGACAATAATTTTGAAATTAGAAGTGCATAATGAATCTTTGATATATGTTATTAGTGTAAATATTATACAACAAATGGTCTGTTTTCTGACGTGCACTAGACTGCACTAGAACTGTCTTTTCACGTAGTTGCGGATTACATGAGAAATATCTGCCGTACATACGCAATCCCTGGATCCTTTTGCGAACATCTGGTGCGGATTACGGATTGCGGATTGTATGTGACGGCACCCTT